CTATGCATAACAATATGCGTATTGCATATTTTTCAACATATTATTTCTTTCCTTTATGTATGGTCGTTTTAATTTTGTTGATACATAAAGATAAGTAATTGCACGTAACAGGAACTTTAATGAACCGTGTGTGTGTGTGTGTGTGTGTGTGTGTGTGCGCGCGCGCGCGCGCGTGTGCGTGCTTTTTGTGTGTGTGTGTGTGTGTGTGTGTGTGTATGTATGTATGTATGTATATATGTATATCTGTATAATATTTTAAGAATTGAATGTTTTAATTAGTGCGATAAAATAATCTTTTTTGGGTCGTAAATAAAATTGATTAAATAGCAGTATAAGGGATCATTAATGTACATGCACGTTGACTTCAAAGGTTATTTATTGTAACAAGATAGCTCTATTATTTACGACTTTGAAAAACGTATAATGTACACAATATAAAAAAGCTAACATTGAGCCCCTTCGCATTACGTAATTTCCTTTTTTGCATTAAAATTTTTGAATGCTTGGTTTTTACCCGAAAAATGATCAATACTAAGTATCTATGCAACGATATAATGGTGTGGATTACACAATTGGCAGTTCAAGAATCGCGCGAACGCCATTTCCCTCTGAATTATAACTTTCTTAATCGCGAACGAAAAGAATGGAAAAAAGAAAGAAAAAAAAAAAGAAAAATATACTAGATTCCAGGGTCGTCTACAATCTGCTTGAAGGGCAAGAATTACCGTTTAAGGGTTAATGTCGAGCATAGAAATCTTTTATCCTTTGACGAAAATTACATGAAAAGATTGGAATACCGTTTCGCCTCGTCACTTCCTGCACAAGAAAGGATAGGGTTGGCATTTGCACGTACAAGCGTAATTCGTGAAAACTAGAATGTGGGAAAAATCGTTCGCGACCCGTTAGGTAAGGGCCCTTTTTGGGGGATCTACAAACTCTAGGCGCGAAAGGGTTGAGACGCAAGAAAATAGGTCAGATTAGAAGGCCTTTCGTGCGTCTGCGCCCTTGTTGGCCTTAAAGGGCCCTTCCCCCAATCGTTTTTACAGGGCTGATGTACCCGTGGATAAAGTATCGCGTTTCGGTATATTTGGGCCAGTGCGCGCGGGTTTTTTTTCTCTCTTTTTTTTTTCATAGCCCGTGCGCATTGTAAGATTCGAATATATGGATAATGTGAGCAGCGACATAATCGCCGAAATAATAATGAATATAATATCGAGCTAAAATTATGATTGAGAGTGGAAGTCTTAGTGATAGATATCGGACGAAAATTGATATTTATAAAGATAGGGATTGTGCGGTATTGCCGATATTGGCCCATTTTTCTTTGTTTCCCGACATCTCGAGCTCATTCATACTTCATGTAATTGTGCCTAATGGAGAAAAGATAAAAGTTACAACATAAGTAACGACGCACTGTAATTTTCCTATTCCTTATGACGTAAAACTTTCAAAATGCAATATATAAAATTAATTATCGGGTCGAAGGCGTATAATTGTTAGCCAAGCCAAGCAATGACATATGGGATTTTTGTGCCCAATGCATCATTCACCAAATCGTAAAAGACTGCATAAAAACTGCAATACGGTCGAGTGCTAAATCGAATCGGAGCTCCTGCCGCTTGCGCGCGCGCGCGCACCCATTAAACCAGTGAAGGATCCATGGGAAGGTCGACTAACGACGGGGGAATTGCCAAAAATTCTTAACCGAGGCGTCCCGCCATAAGCGCACGAGAGAGAAAAGGCCGAAGCGAAAATCTTATCAGCCAACATCTGTTAGCAGTCGCAGTCGACTGACCTCTCGAGCATCGCCGTCGTACGGAAACCAAAGCGAGCGCATCCCCACCACGACTCGGGGGAGTGGTCGAACTTTGGGGTTGCCACCCTCGTGGGCCGCGCACGCGCTCTTCCATTTCGGCGAATCCGCCAGCTGCCGGATGATCGATCGCCGGCTGGACGCGGAAAACGTTCGCGTACGGTCGGCAACAGGTTTTTTTTTATCTTCACTGCCGGATAGTCGCGTACGCGCGGAGTCAATTACGGCCGCGGGACCGGTTGCCGTGGTCGATTTTATTGTGACTCCCGAGAAGAAAGAAAGGTAGCGAATATAGAACATAGAGTTCATTATTAAACGCGCGCGAGAAGAAATGCAATAAAGAGCAGCAGTCTTAAGTACTCGTTTCGTTTAGAATGGAATTTCCTTTTCATTGATTGAGCAAATTTTTTTTACGCAGGCCTGTCTTAAGCCTCAGAGCTGCAGTTTTTGCCAACGAATCGATGGGCATTTTTAAAACACATGAAAAGTGTAGGAATTGGCTATGGTTGTCGGTTCTGGATTTAGGCGATAGGTCTGTACTTTTATCGACCAGCCCTCGCTCGTTCTATCAATTGTACAAAAATAGTCCATTTTACTTTCTAATCAAGGAATTTAATGGCAGAATTTTGCTATTGAGTAGTGGTCGTGAAAGGTATTAGCATCTTATACAATGATATCCACACATTTAAATAGAATATAAATAAGTACAACATTTTCTTAGTCATGATGGTTGGAGAAAAATAAATTTTATTTTTTATTAAATAAAAATATTATGTTATTATGTTCATTCTTTTATTAATTGACCCAAATGGCAATCCTCAGTCAGTGAGTATATTAATTAACAAGCATTCCTTCAACTGTTTAACAACAACAACAACAACAATAGTAACAACAACAACAACAACAACAACAACAACAACAACGAATGTGCATTATTTAACTAAAACTAAATTTATTATTAGATATTACTTCACAAGTAACTACTCTCTAATAACTTATTATGTGATTAATAATTTACATTAATAACATAATTTATCATCGCTCAGATGGGGTAGAAAATTCTTTTGAATTTCTTAACATAAATAATATGATAACATGAAATGGTAAAAATATTGTTTTTAAAATGGTGAATTTTGTTTTCGGAATACTTTAATGTAAGAGTATGAAAATACAATATCGCTACGTATTCTCTTATATCACTTTAAAATTAAAAGTAAAAAAATATTTAGTCGTGAGCCTTATACACATCATATTATTTTAACGGAATAATAAACATTGTTGTTTGAAATATTGATTATGTATAGAAAACAGTATTACGGGGTTCTCAACTTTCGAAATATCTTTGAAAAACAAATCATTCTACTTAAAATAAACTGCATGCAAAAACGAGACATTAAGTTTTTAAAAATCAATTACTGATGATCTCATCAATGCGATGAGAAAGGAATTATAGCGGTACAAGAAAGCAATGACATTTAGAATTAAATTTCGGTTTTTCTCTATTTCCCAATTGCACGATGACGTATATTTAAATTCAATGGTAAAATACACGAACATTCAACAGCTATAGTGCAAAACGGATTTTATATTCTATCCTTTACAATGCTTTTAAAAAAGCCAAACTTTCTAATAGTTCAATTCACAATTTTCTATTACAATATAATTTCATCAGCATTACGAAAATACCAACAAAACAGCAACCACTCATAAGAAAATCGTCGATTCGATTGAAATCGCTGTTCTGTTAAAGATAGCTGGTTTCGAAAGAAGAGGGAGAGTGAGAGACAGAGAGAGAGAGAGAGAGAGAGAGAGAGAGGAGTAAAGAAAGAGAGAGAGAGAGAGAGACATAAAAACACACACGTCAAATGAGTGTTAAATGATACATGACGGCGATAGACGCGCTCGCGTTATCAGCCAAATGCACTGTAAGTCAGCTGGACGAAGGAAAGAAAGGTGCGTATCTCGCATTACAGCAATTACATTTCTATACGCGAGAGTCAGTCTCGACCTTTCGCTCACTCTTTCGCCACCCCTCGCGATTCCTCCGTCGATCTCCCAATCGTTCGCAAAGGAAGGGCTGCACGTTACCAGAAGGACACATCGGAAAAGCAAGAGCCGATGATAATAAAGAGAAATGAAAGAGCTAGAAAAAAGAGAGCTCCTTACCTCACTAACACTCTCTCTCTCTCTCTCTCTCTCTCTCTCTCTCTCTCTCTCTCTCTCTCTCTCTCTCTGACACACACACTGTCTTGCTCTGTCGGACGCATGAAAAGGGGGCGGAGCGCAGTAAACTGGTGGGGGTCGCGACAACTCTGGTACGAAAAGGGGAGTCGGTGGCATCGCTCTCCTCGTCACTCTCCTCTCTCACTCTCTCACTCTCACTCTCTCACTCTCACTCATTCAGCTCGCTTGCACACTTGCTCGCTCCCTCGCTCGCTCTTTCTCTCATTTTGTCTCACACACACGCGCGCGCGCCTGTGCACATTCTCTCTCTCTCTAAATCGTATGAGCGGTGCTCTCGCCCTCTCGCGGAAGCCGGCATATCGCTGTGGCGGGGGCCTCTCTCAGTCACCTCGCGCCAGTCGAGACACGCGCAAGTTAGACGATCGTCCGTCCGTCGTCAGCGACGTCCTCACCGCCATCCGGGCGCACGTGCGTCCGCAGTACAAGAGTCCAGCGGTGCCGAGAGATCCCGAGGGTAGCCGATTATATAAACAGTGTTTGTGGGCGCAGTGCGCGGGGGCTTCGTGCTGCCTCTCTCTCTCTCTCTCTCTCTCTCTCTTAATCCTTTTCCTTTATTTCCATTATCTCTCTCTCTCTCTCTTTTAATCCCTTTCCTTTATTTCCATTCTCTCTCTCTCTCTCTCCATCCCTCCCTCCCTCTCTCTCTCTCTCTCTATCTATCTATCTATCTATCTCTCTCTCTATCTATCTATCAATCTATCTATCTATCTATCTCCCTGTCCCTTCCTTCATATTTGTCTTGTAGTGGTTAATTGCCTGAGTGAGAAGAGGAGAGGAGGTGAAGGTACAAGAGGTTACCACTGCTACCGCAATTGTTGCTGTAGCTGTTATTACTGTTGCTGTTATTGTTACGGCTGTTACTGTTGCTGCTATTGCTACTGCTGCTATCGCTGCTGCTGTAGCTGTTGCTGCTAGTACTGCTGTTACTCCTGTTACTGCTGCTGTTGCTGCTGCTGCCGCTGCCATGGGCACCTACGTAGAATACGCCTAACCTGGATGACAGAGGTACATGTCCGCGAGCCTGATAACCGAGACACCCACTGGAGTGAACCGTGTTTATGTGCGCGCATGTGTTTTGGTGCGGACGTCTGCCTTTTAAGCTTTGGTAGACGTTTGTGGATAGGTGCTATCGTTTAGAGAAAGGAGAGCGTTTTAGGATCGATCCTGTCACTACTGCAAATTCCTTGAACGTCCGGGAAGAGCCGCCGCCGCCGGTCTCAATAATGTCCGTAACGATCTCGTAAGCAGATCCCCGTTCTTCCCCTTTCCCTGAAATACGTGAGTTTCTTCTCTGTTTGGTGTGTGCCTTTGCCATTTAGACGTGCTTGCGCCCATGGTCAGTCCTTCGACAATCCTTCCTCGACGATGTCTCAATTTGGGAATGCGTTGATTCGATTTTCCTGCGTATGACATCGAATTGCACTTGTGACTCGTGACTTTCTCAATGCTCCAATAGAAAGGGCTCGAAGCGAAAAGCAGCCCTACCCTTTTAAAAAGGAGCTCCTAATAGCCAGAAAGTCGCGATGCAAGCGCTCCGTTACATAATTAAATCGTCCGAATGAGAAAGTCGTACGTCACACATGATAGAAGTAAAATTTTCTTAACCACGTATAACGAAAAGTTTTCTATCTTTGTGTGTACCACCGCAGTGTTGTGCGCGGTAAATGTGTATGCAAGCCATCCGACAAATGAAGTTACACATCAAAATGACAATATGTTTTTAAGCCAATAAATTTCTTGTTTGAGGTCAGATCATTAAATGCTTTTTTATTGGTAAATCGGCGGTCTTTAAATAAATCGTCCAACAGTAGAATCAATTTTGTACAAAGCACAAGGAGTTGGAAGAAGGTCGGAAACCATTTTCCTTCCTACACGAAATTCCATATATATAAAAGAAAAAAAAAAGAAAAAAAAAGAAAAAAAAAGAGAATTAGATAAAAACATCAACAACGAAACAAAAAAAAAAAACTTTCTTTTCATATCGCTATTTAAAAGATGGATTAAAAAATGTCAATCAGATATCGCAAAAATACTTGGCCAAACGGTTAACGATCGGCCATCGTACTGTGTGACAAAAGTCAAGGATAATGCAGCTTAATTAGAATACAGCTTAAGGGAGAGAGAGAGAGAGAGAGAGAGAGAGAGAGAGATCAAGTCAACTAAAACAGCAACTTCTTCTTTTCTCGCTTTATTACGCATTGCCAAAGGCTCGCGCTTCGATACGTGCGGTAATTATCGACTTACTTAACGGCTATTTGTTAAAAAATTCCAAGAAACTCGTACGTATTGTTCAGACACCGTGAGTATATGCAAATGGCCCGTATTGCCGTATTTCTCTCGGCACACTCTTCATTAAAGTAGAGAAAAAAAAAAAATTTTTTTTTGGGAAAAGTACAGTAAAAACGAAATTTGCGAGCTACGAAATCGGTCACTCCGTTAAAATCAGTACAAACTGCCATTTCGGTCTCGCACCCACCGGTTCTTCATTCTTATTTGCGTTCGCGAAAGAATAGCCAAGCTTTTGTTACGCCTCTCGAACAATTAATCACTTTGAACTTTCGCAAGGATAGTCAAACATTTTCTGCAATCATGTGTCCCATACGAACTTGCCGATTTTCCTTCTATACGCCATTAATAAACACTTTTATCCCTCCATTCCCTCCCCCTATATACATGCATATATGTATTTTATTGTACGCACCCGCGCACACACCCACGCACAGTAATTGAATTGTTTACAATGAATTCAGGAGACAAATGGGTGCTTTGTTCGTCATAAAAAATTGTCTAATATCCAACTTCGTCGATAATTCTAATTGGATATTAATTTTAAATCGATTTAAATTTTAAATTGATAATTTCGTTTAAAATATCAAACTTCCAATACCGTAACATATAGTAATTACGCAACTTTTCATGTTGAACGAAAATTATAAAAGAATTTTTATTATTATGAAAAAAAGCTTAAAACAGGAATTTTAAAATATTGCCTTTTTAAAACAATTGGCTTAACTATTGGCAAAATCGATAATTTTCTACCGTTTAATTTCCATAAAAATAGTTTGCATGCACTTAGTCGTGGAGGGATACGAAAAATTGACCTCTTTTGCAATTGCACGAGGAATAAGGGCACGCTAATAGCTTTCAAATGAATCGCACAATATTACTACGATTAGAGTTAACTAACCATCTCGAGATCGGTTGAAAGAGAGAGAGAGAGAGACAATCTTTCGTGTTCATTTTATTGCTTGCTTGTTTGCTTAGGAGCACAAATGATTTTCATTCTCAAGAGAAATAAGTCAAGAATCGAGATAAAAGTGCCCCATGCCTATTAAAAATTAAGCTTTAAACGTATTAAGGTAGAGTTGCATTTGTGTTGTTCATCTTCTTTAGCTTTTGAACTTTTCAATATACGCACACGCGCGCACATCTCATGAAAACTCATTGATTTTCTCGTCGTATTACCGTGTATTTCTCGTGAGCTAACATAATATTAATTTTTCCCTTCTAAAGCCTAAGCCTAAGACTTACTGATAAATTATTATTAATGGTCTTGAAATAGTAAGATGAATTTCCGGCCAGCCGTATGCCCATAGTTTACTATTATGAAAAATTGCGTATTAAACCAAACGTTTTTAGTTGAAATTCAGCTACGATTCCGTGAAAAAGTCACTGCAACCGAGGGCTTGAAACTTTATGATTTTCTACGCTCACGAGTGCTAAACAATTAATACAGAAATATAAAATTTTAGAAAATATACTTTCATTTTACTGCCTCATAAACTACGGCGATTCAGATTTAATTGTACAAAAACATAAGCTTCGAAATCTTTAACTTCTCGGGTTCAGCTCACTCGTATTTAAAAAATTAGCATTCTTACACAAGGAAATGGGAAGTAAAAATTTATATTTTTTATCAAACACTTTTTCACACTTTTTCTCATTTCCAAAAGGTGTAAGAAATATTTGCACCAAAAAATAATTAATATTTATAACCTACGGTATATTTTATTCGACGATATTATTGTTCGCCACTTGAATTCGATCAAGTATTTCAGCGAAGGTTGATTTATGAATATTATGAAAATATTATTATCCTTGTTGTATGCTCAACGTTTATCCGTAACTATAATAAACGAATTTACTCATAGCTTTGACACCTCATCGGCATTATTATCCAACAATGTCTATACGCTTTTAATTCTCGCTCGATGTGCATTTTCGAATTCCGAAACGTTCATGACGTGGGCGACAATCGACCCCCGTTTTCCTCGAAAGAGGCTCCGGAGGAATGGAAGCGCTCGGCTACGCTAATCGAGTGACAATTTGTGAATAACCAGGGAACGCGTAGTTAGTAGTTAGCTTGAGTTGGACTCAATTTACCGAGGCGGTAATTTCCATTGGCTTTTGTATGTTGGTGCCGCGGAGGCGAGCGGGAGACAGTGTGCCTGCCTGCGCCGATCGTACCAGCGGATTTGCGAATTTCCGAAGTTTTAGGAGAGGATGCTCGTTCGAGAGTCGAGAGGGATGACGTTGCCGCCGCCGCTCCTCCTGGGTAATCGTATTAGCTCCGGAGTGGCGTTTCGTTCCTCTTATAGGGGAGCCGGACGGACGCCTTTCTTAGCTGCCAGGCGATATCTCGCGCATATATCACAGCCATAATTCTATACATCAGTTATTTTTTACTTTTTACTCGGACGTTCTATATTTCACCGATGAATAAAGCGGAAAATAGTATTTTCTCTTTTTCTTCTTTTTTTTCTTTTATCTATTCTCGCTTTTTATTTTTGTGTGTGTGTGTGTGTGTGTGTGTGTGCGCGCGCGCGCGTGCGTGCGTTCGTGCGTGTGTGTGCGTGTGCGTGTGCGTGTGCGTGCGCGTGTGCCGTGGTAGTGTTGGCTTTTCGATGTGCCGAACGTCGCTTTTGCCCCTTCGGCATATTTAATTCTAAAATATTTCGACTCCGTATACTTCCTTCCTACGTCTATCTATTTATTTATTACAGCAGCTTGGAGAAGACTCTCACGTAATTTCTACGGCGAATGAAAAAGCGTTGCGTAAAACGGAAAACTTTCAGCGGGTTCATCTCTCGCGCTCCGGGAGCCGCATGCCACATATGCCAAAAAAAAGGCCGGGAAATAAAACGAAAGCGGGCAGTAAGTGTGGCGCATGTACAGAGCATTTAAGAGAAAAATGAGAAATACGAGAAGCGACCGAGCGACCGAGTGAGCGTATGTGAGAGAGCAAAAGAGGGAGAGAGAGAGAGAGAGAGAGAGAGAGAGAGAGAGGAGAACAGCGAAACAATTGGAGGCGCGGAGGCGGTCGCATTTCATGCCGCTTGGCATCGGCTCCCTTTTAAAGCTCTCCTGCGTTTTTGTGTTAGCTCTTCGAAAATTATGATTGTTTGTCCGCGAGATTTACTGCACATGCGCGTATCCACCACCACTTCTCGGGTCTCTCTCTCCGAAATTCGAAGTCATAAGATCTCTCCCCCATTGGGCGTCGCACATTGCCACAGATTAAAAAATATCGTGCATTTACACAACCCATGATGATGACTCAACAACGACAAAGACAAAGACAAAGACAAATGCAATGATAATAACGACGACGACGTGAAACAGTGACAACGATACCGACACGGACATCGCCATCGCCATCGCCATCGCCAACGTCATCGAAAACGACAGCGACAACGACAGCGACAACAACGACAACGACAACGACAACGACAACGACAACGACAACGACAACGACAACGACAACGACAACGACAACGACAACGACAACGACAACGACAACGACAACGACAACGACAACGACAACGACAACGACAACGACAACGACAACGACAACGACAACGACAACGACAACGACAACGACAACGACAACGACAACGACAACGACAACGACAACGACAACGACAACGACAACGACAACGACAACGACAACGACAACGACAACGACAACGACAACGACAACGACAACGACAACGACAACGACAACG